CAGTTGGAGGGTTCAGTTCTTCAGGTCCAGTTGGAGGGTTCAGTTCTTCAGGTCCAGTTGGAGGGTTCAGTTCTTCAGGTCCAGTTGGAGGGTTCAGTTCTTCAGGTCCAGTTGGAGGGTTCTCTGCAGGCTGGCGATGCTGGCGTCCAGAGCAGCCAGACCATCTTCAAATGCCTCCTGGTCTCTGGTGTTGAAGGTCCAGCTGGACCTGGTGGTCCAGTCAGAGCACACAGAGTCCACCCCGGACTGTCTCCATGGCTGGATGTCCACTGACTGGGCCTGATCAGGGTTCTGTATGGGTTCCATCGGACTCAGAGACATTAGGTACTGCTGGATCCGGTCACAGGGGGGTGCTGCTGGATCTGTTTTGGAACCGGTTTGTTTTGTGAGTCTAGGTAGGTTCTGAACCGGAGGACAGTCTGATGAGGTCTGACAGAGCCTGAAAGACAAGAGACCAGACCAAATGTCCACAAACATCAGTAACACATCTGTCCTCTTCAAATTCTGATCTGCTGGACCCTCCAGATCCAACACAGACTGGTTCAAGAGAAGTCCTGCTCCAGAGGTCCAGGACWGTCTGAGATGTTGGACTGACCCCTGCAAAGTGTCCTGCTGCTGTCTCTCACTCAGCTGCAGCTGACGTTTGGTCTCCTCCAACTCTGAACAGAGAAAAACATCACTGACTTGGTGCTAAAGCTAACTGTTGTTAGCAACATAACATCACTACAGCTAACTGAAGTTAGCAACATGGTAAAGCAATCATGACTCAGTTCATTTACCAGATACGGTGCTAAAATTAGGATAACAGTTCTTATCACATCCTCTGAGTGCTATGTTCAAACATTTATTCTACATTTAAATAAATACTTTATCTTCTCCCTGGGCTGCCACCTTATCGTGGTGGAGAGGTTTGAGTGTCCCARTGATCCTAGGAGCTATGTTGTCGGKGGCTTTATGCCCCTGGTAGGGTCACCCAAGGCAAACAGGTCCTAGGTGAGGGATCAGACAAAGWGCAGCCCAGTGACCCCATATGATGAGTRCTACAGATGGACTGAGTGCTCCCTCGYCCGGACGCRGGTCACCAGGGCCCCAATCTGSAGCCAGGTCTGGAGGTGGAGCATGTTGGCGAGCGCCTGGTGGTCATGCTTTCGCCCATGGAGTCCAGTCGGGCACAGTCCAAAGAGGAGAYGTGGGTCCCCCTTCCCATGGGCTCACCACCTGTGGGAGGGGCCGTAGGGGTCGGGTGCARTGTGTGTTAGGCAGTGGTCGAAGGCGAGGACCTTGGCGGTCTGAACCTCGGCTACAGAAGCTGGCTCTAGAGACGTAGAATGTCACCTCTCTGGTGGGGAAGGAGCCTGAGCTGGTGTGTGAGGTTGAGAGGTTCCGACTAGATACAGTTGTACTCACCTCAATGCACCGCTCTGGCTCTGGAACCAGTCTCCTCCAGAGGAGTTGGACACTCTTCCAC